TTTCTTTAAGAGCTGCCACTGCTGAACGTGACGCGGATCTGACACGCATCTCTTTACCTTTTCTGACCCACTTCAGGTCTTAAAGTCTCTACTAATGAACTGATGAGTTGAATCGGGTGTGTTAGATGAGGGAGACAGTGCTGGGCTGCTCCAGGACAGTTTTGAAAAACATTTCCGAGACATGTTGTTCTTAATGTAACTCATATATAATATATTGCATGCATATTGCATACCATTTCCGCGCTCGTTTGACTTGTCTTGACATTTATAATAACATGTCTATTTGAATATACAGTATTTTAAAATGTAATTTCTGTGATGCAAAGCTGAATTTTCAGCATCATTACTCCAGTCTTCAGTGTCACGTGATTTTTCAGAAATCATTCTTGCTGATTTGCTGCTCAAGAAACATTTCTTATTTTTTTTACCAATGTTGAAAACAAGTTGTGCTGCTTCATATTTTTGTGGAAACCATGATGCATATTTTTCAGGATTCTATGATCAATAGCAAGTTCAAAATTTCAGCATTTATTTGAAATATGAATCTGTTATAACAGAGTCTTTACTGTCACTTTTGATCAATTTAGTGTGTTTGCTGAAAAAGTTTTATGTATGTATGTATGTATGTATATGTAATTATTTACTTATTTATTATTATTTTCTTTTCTGGGGGAAAAAATCCTACATGTGTGTCTAGCTAGTATTTCATTATGAACATACAGTAAGTAGCCAAAGCCAAATCAATGATTCTTAATAGTTGAGGGTCAAAGGTCAAGTCTGCCCCCTTCTGCCAGACACAGGCATTACAGTGTACCCTTCTTCACGTCCTCTGTATGCTCTGTCCCACACGCAGGCAGGAATATTTAGCAGAGTGTACTATTTAAGGAAAGAGAGAGAGAACGTCAGCATCATGCTGAGTTTTTATGAGTGCTCTATTTTTCAGTCTAACGTTGAACATTTAACTGAGAAGATGAAGACCAGCATCCAGAGAGGTTTAGTGCTCAGGTATGATCTAGCTCTCTTACATACAGCATTAATACACTGGATTCGTGTATCATGTAGCTCTATATGTGTAGAAGCAGTGAGGTGTGATTGTATGTGTGTGTCTGTAATTTACAGGAATGAGAACTGCAGTGAGAACTACACCACTGACTTCATCTACCAGCTGTACAATGAAGAGGGCAAAGGAGTCTTTGACTGCAGGAAGAACGTCCTGGGACACATGCAGCAGGTACACACACACACACACACACACACACATGCAGTTGAGAACATGATCAGAATGTTGTTCATCTGCCGTGTTGTGATGTTTTGTAGGGTGGTGCTCCCTCCCCGTTTGACAGGAACTTTGGCACAAAGATCGCAGCTAAAGCCATGCAGTGGATCTCCAAGAAGCTCAAAGAGTTTTACAGAGAAGGTAAAGAGAAATCACTCCTGTAGAGATGCAGTCTGGGATTGTGTGAAGTCAGAACTGATTTTTGTTACAAGAGCAACAGAAAACATACATATTCAACACTGCTGCAGGAAATTAAATGCTGATGATCTTAGAGCACATTTTTGCACCACATATATTTATATAATTCTGTAGCTAAGAATTATATAAATAAATTATATAAATTATATAATATATCATTTATACATACATACATACATACATACATATATATATAAATAAGTAACTAAAAGGATCGTCATTTTCATGAGCAAAAATTTTTAGTGCATCTGTGTTTGCTATACATATGGGTTGCACAGATTTGGATGTAAAATGTAATAACATGTTTAATGTAAAGCACTAAAATATTATAATAATAGTAATAATAATAATAATAAATATTTTATCAATAATTAATTTGACTGTATTTTTGTTATATATATGTTTAAAAAAAATATTATTACATTAATTGTGTGTGTGTGTGTGTATAATACAATTAATAATAATTTAATAATAAATTAAATACAATAATAAAATATTTGTATTTTTGTAAAGTTTTTTATAACAAATTTATACATTATATTAAGAAATATAATATATTAAGAATTATATATTAAAGGTGCACTAAGCGATTTTTGTCAAATTATGTTGATATTTGAAAGCACCGAAACAAACA